TGTTGTCCTCAATCTTACGTGTTATCAGCCTCGACATATAAACAAGTGATGTACCTAGGAAACATGCCTGTGAAAGGAATAAAGTGACCGGTAGATCTACAGGTTGCGAGGAATATATTGCCGTCTAAATTACGTAAAAAAATAACATTGACATCTCACTTTAACAGAAAGATAATTTGAAATACTAATAAGTATATTTATTCATTAAAATCGGCATTAGCGCCAACCACTACCTTCACAAGACTACAGAAATATTCTGGACGTTTTCACAGCTTAAGTTGGTGAATGCTGGCATAATGCGTGCATTCGGTTCATCTTTGGTGTTACAAGGAATGTTTTTTGGTCACTCGTTCAACTACGATCCACACATCATAAACAAGGAGTATTACAGTGTGGGGAGTTAGATGACCAGATGTAAGGGGAGATGTGGTCGCAAAAACTGTTGGTACCAAATTAACCCTACTATACTGTGCACACGACAAAATCAAAAACAAACAACGCGCAAGCGCGAAATTTAAATAAAGATATAAAATTGCGTAATTTTTTCTCATCGCACCCTCTGTGAGTGTGTGTATATATATACAGATAGATAGATAGATAGATAGATAGATAGATAGATAGATAGATAGATAAACCTAGAGAGCGAGACAGACCTACCAAGGTTTAACCTAAGCGGATCGTCAGGAAGGCTGACGATCCGTTTAGGTGAAACCTTGGTAGGTTTGTCTGGCTCTCTAGGTGTATCTAGGTCGGCTCTACTTATTGTATCAAGCACTTTATTTAGTTATTTTGCCTACTCGTATCGGGGTTTGTTTTTTTTTTTTCTTTGGGCTTTGGACTTGCATGCTAGACGATTATTTTCGGCTAACGTACATGTTCTTGGTTCTTTTTTTCCGCTTTGGTATTGGTTTGATTATTTGCAAATCAAGACACAGAAGGTTTTCCGAACAAATATAATTTCTTATACTTATAAGATTGCTACTAATACTACTTCTACTACTACTACTACTACTAATAATAATAATAATAATATATATATATATATATATATATATATATATATATATATATATAAAGACTCCCCCAGAGCGAGGATGCTTTATTAAACATCAACACAATAATACAGAGTTTACATTTTTAAATGGTTTCCGGTAGCACACGACCGACTGGCCGATACTTGTCCACGAAGTTCTGAGTTAATAAAATATTATGATTCAAGAGATAAAATCTCGTGTTTTCATTAGCCATGTACGAGACGATAACATCGCGACTGATATTTCATTTATTCCTGTCACGAATTTTATTTTTTCCCCCAGTCATTTCTTTTCATTCTTGGTGTCTTCTAAAAATCAACTTCTTTTATGACCATCCAAAATAATTCCCTTCGATTATCCCTTTCTGGTAAGATAAGGCATTGATATCAGTATCTCAAATTCGAAAAGATACAAGATTCAGACTTTAGATTTAAGAGCATAAGAAATTCTAAACAAATTTGGTTCTACAGATAGATGCTGGGAATAAGATACAACGAACATGTGAGCAACAACGAGAAAATAAAAAATTAACACTTATATTTATTATCAGAAAGTAACAATTGAAATTCCTATGTTCCATAATGTGGATAGTGGCCTTGGAATATTTGATACTCACAGGACAGATTGAAGAGCAGGGAAAACAACTCAAAACCTACCTTGAGTAAATCGATGACAGAACAGAGTTTAGGAGCGATAATAAAATGACAAAATCTATTAAGAGCGACAAAGGACAGGAAATTGTGGAGAGCCATGATCGCCAACCACGATGAAGAAGAAAATGATGGTGATACTTAAATTAATCCCTCAACATAACAAAATACTTTAGATATAAAAATATCCTTATTCTTCATGGCAGCTTGTAAAGGTCTTTTGTTTGACATAGTCCTTCCCAGTGCATGTTGTCAAGGGCGGATGTAACACGCGGATGAGACAAATATATTTTTCGATTCATGATCACCTTATGATTATCTTACTCCCTTTGGTATATTCTATCTTTATAAGACCAAAAATGGGTTGCTTGCTGGGCTGGAGGTGATCAGCTCTCCCTTGCCAGTCTTGACAGAGTTCATAAGCGTCTACGCAACGTTGTGTGTGATGAATTATTCCCCATTCTCCCACCTGTTTCTCACAGATGAAACATCGCTAGCGTCTTGCTGATCTATCACTATTTCCATGGCAAGTGTTGTGAGAAGCTATATTCGATGTTTGCGGCATGTTTTCTTTATTGTGTCTTACGAGTAAGCTTAAAGGGTTGTCCGAAACTTGGTCTCTCTTGTGCGGGCTTTTAAAGCTCTCTATATTTCCCCAGTGTAACTCTTCCTCCACTGCAATGAAGGAAGACCTACATTTTACAAGAAAAGGATTTTACGTGAATAAAAATGCATTGATTTCTTCCAGACCTGTTATTTAAAATGCATTTTTTAATAGTTTCACAGTTATCATGAAAGGAATTTTAGAAAATCCACATATAAAACTGAGGCAAGCATTTTTTTAATGTTGATATGGTGAGGTCAACTTTCTGAACAAATGTGCATTGAAAAGAATGATATTCTATCTAGCATTTTTTTTGTTTTTTGCAATGATTTTCACCCTGTACAAGGCTCGAGAACCACTCGAAGTATGCCTTTACAGCGTAACAGGAAACGTTTATACTAATATTGGGGAAGATAACGGTTACTTCTAAACTTGAACAGGTTAAGACACCCTCTTGAGCGTCGGACCCACAGAACAACTGTTCGCTAGATGAAGCTACGCGAGTGAAATTTCATGGTTGGAATACGAAGGGTATGAGTCTTGTTCGCTACAATATGCGTAGCATGGCGAGTCTTGGCCGTGAGGTTTAGGACTGGAGGAATTAAAGAATGTAAATCGTCTGAACACTTTCCATGGAATATGAAGAGAATGAGGGTGGTTCGCTATAATCTCTGTGGCACGGTGGGTCTTAGCCATTATGGTTAGCACTGGTGGAACTAAGGAATGTAGTTCGTCTGAGCCCTTTCCATGGAAAGAGCGATAAAGCAGCAAAAGCCTTGCGACGTTTCGTCTGTGAGAAAGTAATGGCAGGGTGGATAATATTTTGTCATCCACAAGGATGCGGAGACGTTTTTGAACACTATCAAGACTGGAACATGTAGACTGGCAGTTCCAGACCATATATGGCAGCGATACTCCATTTTAGGCCTGATGTCACTCTTGCATATATAGTGATTTTTCCAAATGTAGCTTAGATGTAGTAGAAGGTCGAAAGTGTGGGGCACCCAATGAGAATCGAACTCACTACTCAGTCGTAATTGTTCTTGCAAGACAAGCTTGCTAAGCATTACACCGCCACCAGGTGCCCTACTGATTTTCTAAGCCTAGCTTAGATGTGGCCCAAGGCTGAAATCATGAGGCACCCAGTGAGGATCGAACTCACTACTCAGTTGTAACAGTTCTAACGAGAAAAGCTTGCTAACAATTACGCCACGTCGAGGTGCCGAAATTGACAGTTTACCCCGGTAGTAGGGGTTTGCTTACAGTACCAGGTCTTCCCAAGCGGTCCCCCATCTAAATATTGACCTGGCTCTACGAAGCTTAACTTCGGCACTCTTTTATATATGTATAGAGAGGATAGCACAGGTACTTACTGTAGCTGAACAGAGAACCGACCATTTTTCCAGCATCCTTAGCGCCTTAAGAATCTGTACAAGATAATCTCGCTTAAAATCTGACCACTGTTGAAATACAGTTCCATCAGTAATCCAAGCACGATTCAGTTTCCAACTGTATATTAACATAAACGCGTTTCAACCAGGTGCGGATTCCGGAGAGATATTATCACTTTCTATATTTATTCTACTAAAAACAAGGGTAAATTTGCTTCAATTAAAATCCATATTTAATTCACCGTACATGAAATGAATGATGCACACAGTTAATGTCGATTTTTGTTTGTTTGCTCGGATTTCAAACTTTCCATATTTGACCAAATTGTATTCTGCTTTTAAGTGTATGACAAAACAAGTTTCGACCTATACAAGAGCAACTCGCTTTGAATACTGTCTTTATTTTTTTGTTCGCTCGAATCAATGTAATCGACATATATTATCTTGTTCAAATCGTATTTCTTCCGTCAGAAAAGAACGGTATTCTTTGAATTTTTCATCAAATCAATAGCAAAGTTGGTGCGTTTGATTTTTACCCTTGCGGCGACATAGGAAGAAATATTTTGATTGAATCGACTGAAACAGATGTCGATATGGGGAAGTCATGATTGCAAACCGCGTCTTTTGTCTGGTAGCAAGGCAAGGAACTCAAACAGTTACTTTTTTTCTTGTGTGAAAATAACACTCGGAGGCTCTAATATTACTCCGTCTATTTTGGCTGACAACAGGATTCAGAGTTAGGCTTTTTTTTGCAAGTAATTTTCATTGTATGCTTTTTTGGTAGGTGTTTGAAAATCCTGAATCAAGTTGGATTTCCCGTCGTGGTTAAAAATGAAAAACTATTGTCGAGCTTTCTGCTTCTTAGAACTTCTCAACGACTTGCTGTGAATGGCAAACAACAGAAGTAAATGTCTCTTAACGCGATCAGCTGGGTTAAAAGAAAAAAAATAGATACGCCCAACACTAAAATGGAGACGACGGGAAAACTAAAATATGCATCATTATTGTTCGTTTTTCTTAATCCAATGTAAAAAAAAAAGCAGACTGTTTCCCTGAAAAGAAGAAAAGCGTTGGTGAATAAAGTCATTCAATTCTGACTTTAAATGAAGTAAAAAAAAATATTTGTATATTTATTCTGTTAGTCACTCCCCAACCACCCCACCACCGCCACCGTTCTTACTAGTTGTTGCGCTTTTCAGTATTTTATGAAAAAGAAAATATTTCACCGGAGGTGGGTCGTTCATTTCTTCACATATGCATATGTGCCTACATAAAATCTGTTTCTTTGTAATTTTGCTTGTTCATAAAAAAACGTGTTCACATAGATAGATAGATAGATAGATAGATAGATAGATAGATAAGGAAACAGTGAGATAGATACATAATGAAACAGTGAGATAGATAGATAGATAGATAGATAGATAGATAGATAGATAGATAGATAGATAGATAATGAACACAGTCAGTTAGATAGATAGATAGATAATGAACACAGTCAGATAGATAGATAGATAGATAGATAGATAGATAGATATGAGTATACTGGGATGTATAAATGTATACATATGTGCACATACACACGATGGTGGCTCTCAGCATAATGCATCCAATTTGTTACCATGCAAACTGCAATATATACCGAAAGTAAAATAACACTAATGGACAAAGCAAATAATCTGCAACAAAACGCTTATTTTCAGCCTCTATCTATCTATCTATCTATCTATCTATGAGTTCATTGAATTACAGATTCAAACAACAATGTATTTTCTCTGATTATCTATGACTTCCTTACATCTTTTAACAAGCTTACTAATTCCATTACTGTAAAATCCTTTGGGCTTTGATTCGAAGAACTCACAAATGTCAGTTTTAACCCCTTCCTGTGTTACAAAAGCTGTTTCTTCCAAATGATTCTGTAAGCCACGAAACAAATGGTAGTCTGAAGGAGAAAGATCAGGAGAATAAGGTGGATGAGGAATTTTCTCCCAACCAAGTTCTTCGATCTTTTGTGACGTGATTCGTGCTGTGTGGGATCGCGCATTGTCCTGATGAAACATCACCTGTTTTCGATTCACTAGAGCAGGTCTTTTTTCCTCAAAGCTTGCTTCAAACGATCTAATTGCTGACACTATATTTGAGCATTAATTGTTGCATTAGGTGGTAAGAATTCAAAGTGGATTATTCCTTGGCGATCCCACCAGATGGAAAGAAGAACCTTTTGCCCATGAAGTTGCTTTCTCGGCTGTGGCTGGGGTCCTTCCCCTTTACCAAGCCACTGTCTAAAACGCTTCACATTTCGATGAAATATTCATTTTTCGTCACCAGTCCAAAAAACTGAAACAAGTTGGCGAGAATGGAGAGAAGAGCAGATGTCAACTCGGGATTTGAGGTTGTTTTCAGACAATTCATAAGGCACCCATTTTCCAAGTTTATGAACTTTTCAAAGTTGCTGAAGATGACGATGAACAGTTGTATGGTTTGAAGTGAGAACCACTGCCAATTCCTCAACTGATAAAGCAGGATTTTCTTCAAGGTCTGCTTCAAGAAGCTTTTCATCAAACTCAACTGGACGTCCGGTTCGATCTTCATCTTCAAGGGTGAAATCTCCACCTCTGAATTTTGCAAACCATCTTCTGCAAGTTCTTTCATTCACACATTCCTCTTCATAAACTGAGGGAATGTTTCTAGCAGCTTCGTCTACTGAGTTTCCTTTCCTCAACTCATAAAGCATTATGTGCCTCAAATGATTCTTGGGTACTTCCATGTTAGCAGGGTTTTAATCAAACAAAATTTAATTTTATTGTTTTCTGAAATAAAATTTGATCAGTTTAAATGCATCTAAACATAAAAATAATGTTCAGCTCCATTAGATATTATAAAATAAACTTTAACTTTCGTTCATTTAAAAAAAAAACGGGTAAAATTCGGACAGAACTTATGGGATGACCTGATATGTGGATGTAGCAACCAATCAATATTTTGGACATCTCGACGGGGTTCTTGAATGGTCACCATTTTATATATTTTTGTACTAAAGCAAGTGCCCTACTTTATTCTTAATTTTCATTAACTACCTTCCTGATGGCAGTTCTCAATTTGGAATCTATGCTGATGTCACAACCATTTACTCCTGCCTGGAGAATTCGATAAGATCAAATTGTGGAGTCATTTCAAAAATGACCTACAGTCTTTTGTTAAACGGGGGATAAGAATGTATATGTCTATATTTCTGAGATGAGGTATTATGTACATTATTTACATTATTCGGGCTATTGTCCTCATTTGTGCCCTGTGTCCTTGGGGATACATGGCACAGTGGATAAAGGCGTTGGGTAGATCCAGTGACAGGAACCAAAAGGCGTTGGTTAGATCCAGTGACAGAACTCAAAGAATGTGAATTCGATACCCGGTTAAGGCAGTGGAGAATTTGGAGAAGGGAATACCCAGGAGATAACTTATAACTGACATCCATTAAAAAACATGGCACGTGAAACTAGAACAGTCTACCCCAGTTAGCGAAATAAAGGGTTCAGTTCGACATTTCAACCAAATGAAGAAGGTCACAGCATACAACGGCCGAAACGTTGTAATAAATATGGCGACAAAGATGAGGACAATAGTCCTAATATTGTAAATATGGATAAGAATGGCTTGTTAATTTTAAAACTTTCAAAGCTAAACTGGTCTCTATTAATAATTTAAGGGACCCCATTCTGTCAAAACGTTGTAATAAATATGGTGACAAAGATGAGGACAGTAGTCCGAATAATGTAAATATGGATAAGAATGGCTTGTTAATTTTAAAAAATCAAAAGCTAAACTGGTCTCTATTAATGATCTAACGGGCCCCATGCTTCCTTCCATCAGCATGACTAATGCTAATCTCCGGGGGAGTAACTCTCTGGTTAACAATCTCAGCTGTGATGAAGTGGAAAGTCTATATGGAATCCATTGCTAGATTTGCAGTTTAGAAAGTTGCTTGACTGTGTCATGCTAGAAATTTTTTCTATCCAAAATCTATCTTACATATCTATAAGTTTACCATTCATCCATATATATATATATATATATTGATTAGCATGTAACAAATAAAAAATAATAGTAACACGAGACGAAGTTTAGTAGATATCACCAAAATCGTATATAGGGCCCAATGCTAATAAAGTACCAAACTTCTGGAGGTTGTTGCAAAACAATTGACGCAACCAACATTAAACATGGTATCTTTCTTTATAGGGGATCATATATCGAAGTATGTACAAAAGAGAATTATTATACAAAGTGAGGCAGAAGTCGCTTACTGTAGGGACAATTTAGTAAAAGTTCAATTACACATGGAAATTTTATTTACTAGTTATTTAATTTTTATATGTGCTGCTCGAAATGCTCTCCTTCTTTTTCAAAACACATTTCAATGAATGCGCCTGCATGATGGATTAACAGATCAGAGCTTTGCTTCTGCCATTTTACTGCGTTCATATCTAAGTCTTTCTCTAAGTTCCTCAATATTTCTTTAGTACGTCTGATAAACAGCTGTGGTCAAATGGCCCCACAGAAAAAAATCTAAGTGTGACCTCAGTGGTCACTCAACATGACCCCTTCAACCTATCCATTAATTCCTATGATGCTAGACTTATGACTATATATATATATATATATATATATATATATATATATATATATATATATATATATATATATATATATATATATATATATATATATATATATATATATATATATATATATATATATATATATATATATATATATATATAGAGAGAGAGAGGTTAGGTTATTATTATTATTATTATTATTATAAGATATAATAAAATTCCATTGAAATCGTTATACAAAAACTTCTTCAGGCGAAGAAGTACAATCAAAGTATTGAAACATGAAAGCTTTTATGCAGCGATTTCAACATGTTTTTATTATTACCTCTTATAATATTATAATAAAAATAATAATAATATTGTTATTTACTGTACCTCCGAAAATAATGGGTATGTCACAATCCTCATAAATACATTGTACACTATTGTAAGTGGTGGGGGTAATATGCTAAGTCCATCACTAGCAGTGGTTTACCTACTTCATGACGCTGGCGAGTAGTGTATTTTGTTGATGCTAAAAGATTACGATATCATTACCAACCTCCGTTTTGGTCATTCCTCATTCAGCAACCTTTTCTAACTTTCAACAAATATGTTGCTCTACTTTCTATTGGGCTCTTTTTTAAAAAGTAAATGCTACGAACAGTGAAATTTTACTCCATCTATTCATTCTCACATTTGGATATAGTCACTGACCATTGATAGCGCCCTGCAGGACAATGACACTTCCTGGATCGCTGCATGCCAAACTCGACGGTGTCATTCGTTGCAATGTTGTTCATTTTTGCACCAGTTTGTTGGAGGTTTCTCTACATTTGGGCATCAATAAAGCAATATTTTATTGATTCCATTTCATCAATTTTTGTTGTTTTTAATCCTTTCTTCAATTTAAATCGTTTAATGAGGATCTCATATTTTGATCTTTTTTTCTACTCAGTGTTGACCTCTTTTGTGTCTCATCTTCTTATCTCGAGCAAACCTCCTTCAATTTATCTTTTTTTGATCAATTTTAATATATATGATATACTAGACTTTGTGTGTGTGCAAGCAAGAGAAAGAAAGAGAGAGGGAAATAGAAAGACTGGGTGTGTATATGTCCGCATGTATGCGTTTTAATATACATGATATTCTAGTCTGTGTGTGTGTATGTGTATGTGTGTGTGCGCGCGTGTGTGTGTGTAAGCAAGAGAGAAAAAAAGAGAGAGATAAATAGAAAGAGTGGGTGTGTATATGTCCGCATGTATACGTTTTAATATACATGATATTCTAGTCTGTGTGTGTGTATGTGTAAGCAAGAGAGAAAGAAAGAGAGAGATAAATAGAAAGAGAGAGTGTGTATATGTCCGCATGTATGCGTTTCAATATACATGATATTCTAGTCTCTGTGTGTGTGCGTGTCTGTGTGTGTCTGTGTGTGTCTGTATGTGTGTATGTGTGTGTAAGCAAGAGAGAAAGAAAGAGAGAGATAAATAGAAAGAGTGGGTGTGTGTATGTCCGCATGTATGCTTTTAATGATAACACGAATTATACTTCCTTTTACTAAACCTTCTTGAATGGTAATTATTTGGAAAATTCCATTTATCGAATTATGAAATGTCCCTGAAAAGGTCCATATGAAATTTGCCCAATAAGCAATTTTTGGAGATCGATACATGGAGAGAAAAAAGAAAATGCCGAAACATATAATATATAGTGCTGCCAAAATAAGATAAAGATATAAATAGGGTTTCACTCGTTTGTTAAAGAAAACAGTACCAAACAGCATAAACAAAATAATAGTGAAATACAGGACTGAATTTTTTTGGTTTTACTGCCAACATACAATGCATTTTTTTTACTGCCAATATAAAATGTCATGATACCTGTTCTCTCATGACAATTCTGGATAGCATAAAGAAGAATCTGGAATGAGATTATGTCCATAATAACTATGCAAAAGTGGATAAAACTAATGAA